AAAAAAAAAAAAAAAAAAAAAAAAAACACAAGGAAATTAAGAAAGTCAAATGCTACAGAAACTCTTCTTTGCTCTCTATAATTATAATATAATGTTATTAATGTGTTTTTTTCTGTGTTTCATTTATGTTATTGGAGTTATTATGTTTGTTGTATTTTTTTTTTCTTTTAGGTTTAGTGTTGGAACTAGTTATGTAACGTTTCTATCATGTATCTTATTCTTGAATGTGAGGACATTAAAAGAAATAGTGATAAATTTTATGGATCTTATGCTTATTTGTGAGATTGATATTTGATGGTTTGATTTTTTCAGTTGGGTGTAATTGATATGAGATAACAAAATTCATCGTTTATGAGGTCCAGTCCACATGTAGATTTCGAAGATAAATTCAAACAGTGCTTGGCCGAATTGTAAGGCAACGAATTTTAGTCCTGCAAGCTACCGATTCGAATTCTAGTGATAGGAGTTAATCCATTATAGTTGGCAAGCGGAAAGGACCTATATATATATTGTTATTTCTTCTTGTAGATTTGAAATTCAAATGCGGTCGTTTATCTTTTGGCTTGTTCTGCTGGATCGCTCGCTCAAGATCTTTGGTCGTTGATTTTATCTATTTGCCGAGAAACCATATTCGATGAATACTTTTCACATCTTGATATCATAAAGGTTCTCCCTTTGTATTTTGTATATAATGCATACCAACAGATCATACCAAATAGAATATTTTTGCTTTTGTGTAAGTAAATGATCTCAAAACTATTATATCAACATATACATCAGCGGCAAAGTTCAGCACAAAGCCTTTGGATACGTGAAGTGTTGATATCTCCATTCAATGTGTAAATTTTGCTTTTGTGGTTTTGCATGCACGTCAGATTCAATTGGTTGTTAATTTGGCTAGACTGTCGAGCAGAAAGAATTAAAAAGTGTTAGCACATCGTATATCATAAGGCAAAATTGTATTTTTAGTCATGCTGGTTTAACGTCATTGCATTTTTAGTCTCAAGATTTTAACTTTTTGTCTTTTGATCTTGTAATTTAGTATTTTGCTGCAAGTTCAGTCGGGACTGAAATTGCAACAAAATTTAATATTGCAGGACTAAATTGCTAATAAAAAATCCTAGACTTAAATTTCTAATAAAAATTCCTTTTAAGTTTTGTAATTTTAAATTTTGTTGCATTTTTAGTCCAAGAAACTGAAATTGCGTTGAATTTTAAAATCCTAGGACCAAATAATAAAAATGTTCAATTCTTAAGACTAAAAACGCCACTGGACCAAACCAACAGGACTAAATATAAATTTTGCCTATATCATCATAATCCTAATAAATAAATAAGACAATGGAAACTAAAAGTAGCAATCCAAAATATTTGTCCATCTACAATTTTTGTTGAAACGATGTCAAAATTTTATGAGTGAAAAATTTAAATATGTTTATTGGGAGAGAATTGGTGCAGTGTTGCAATAAAGGAAGGACTGTTTTTTAAACCATTAAAGAATTAACATTTTTAATAAAATATATATTTTTAAATTGAATTATCATACTATACAAAACAACATAAATTAAAGTATGAGAATCCATAAAATAAATATGCATTTTTATTATAAAGTGTAACTGGTCGACCAACCTACTGATTAGACAGTCTTACATAAAAATTTTTGTTTTTCAAATTTCAAGTTAAGTTGATCCATTTATGTAATTAATTTGATACATCTAAATATTTTTATACTATTCTTTAGAACGTCAATTTTATGACCCATTCTAATATGCATTTTGTATAAGAGGTTCTTCATTTAACTAAAGGTGTTAAATAAAGGTGTTATATATTATTGGGACATGTATGTATTATGAGTACTCAAATGATATATATGAGACCAATTTCATTAATTCATAATTGAGTGAGGAAATATCTTACCGTGCATCGAGCTTCACAAGTCCACAGTGGTGTAGGCACACAACTCATGTAATGACACCAAGAACAATGGTCATTTCCATCAACACCACGAAGAAGCAAAACTAAGCCAACAGACAATCTGCAGGACACAGAAGAAAGAACAATGAAATGATAAAATTTAATGTAACATCTTTGGTAATCATCTCAATTTTCATGTTCATTCTTCTCTTTCGATAATGAAAAATGAAATTTATATGTAATTCTAATTTTCAATAATGCATGATGTTATTTGTAGAAGTCTTAAAAAGAAGTGCTAAAAGATTGACAAACAAAAAAGAATAAATAAGTGAATTGTTTACCCAAGAGCCAATGTTAGTAGGGATGCCAACAATAAGACACATTGATATGGCTTGTACTTGGATTTTGAAGAGGTTGAAAGAGGAGCAGGTGATAATCTTTTGCTGACCCATCCGAATTGAGGGCGTATGAGGAGCACAAATCCGAGAAGAAATCCGGTAACAAACCCTCCCAAGTGGGCAAAGTTGTCGACATGAGGGAGGATCCCGACCGCCATATTTATCACAATGATGAGAATAAGACTCAGTAAAGATTCAATCTGATCTTCATCAAGACGTACGTACGTAAGTAGCAAACAACATCAGCCAATTAAAACAAATCATTTACTAAAATAATAATAATGTATTGCTAACTCACACATCTTCATCTTATCCAGTTACTTCGTCACAACAAATATTTAGAGTGAAAATGTTATAAGCTTATTTGCCATGGGATGGATGAAGTAGTTTTTTTTTTTTTTT